ACGCAGGAAAGTAAATGCATATTTAAACAAGAAAGATTGATATTCAAATCAAGTTGGGTACTTTATTTTGAAGGTTCATTTATACCATTTATGTGTGAAAAATAATATCGCTCAAATGTTCACCACGACTGGATTTACAGACGTCCACGCGATGGTCGAAATTTTCAATGACATTTTGCAACATGGTCGGTTCTATGGCATTTATCTCGGCAATGATGTTGTTTTTGAGTTCTTGGAGGGTGGCTGGTTTGTCGACGTAGACTTTGCTTTTCAAATATCCCCATAAAAAGAAGTCCAAGGGAGTCAAATCGCACGATCTTGGTGGCCATGGCACATTTCCTCTGCGCGAAATCACGCGATCACCGAAGAAGGACTGCAATCGATGGATATTGACGTTGGTTGTGTGGCATGTTGCACAGTCTTGTTGGAAATAAACATCGTCCATATCCATTCCTTCAAGTTGCGGCAAAAAATAGTCCTCTATCATCACGTGATATCGCTCAGAATTGACGGTAACGGCGTCCCCGGCCGCATTTTCGAAAAAGTAAGGTCTGATGATGCCTTTTGACCACAATACACACCACACAGTCACTTTTTGAGGATGCATCGGCTGCTCTTGATACTTACGGGGATTTTCGTTCGCCCAGATGCGGCAGTTTTGCTTGTTTACCGTCCCATTCAAAGTGAAATGCGCTTCGTCGCTGAACATGATTTTTGATGAAAAATTGGCATCAATTTGGCGGTGTTCAAGGAGCCAATCTGAGAACGTTCGGCGCGAAAAATGGTCGGCCCGACGCAGCTCTTGCGTCAATTGGATCTTGTAGACGTGTACATTCAAATCCTTGTGGAGAATGCGGAGCAAACTGGTTCTCGAAATGCCCAATTCTTGGGATCGACACGTTGTTGATTGTTTCGGATCGTCTCTCACACTCTCCTTCACAACAGCAATATTTTCCAGTGTGCGAACGCTCCTTGGCCGGCCAGAGCCTGGCAAATTTGCCACAGAACCTGTTGCCTCGAATTTACGCACCAGACGACCGATGGTTGTTTCGTTTGGGCGGTTGTTGCGACCGAAATGTTCACGAAGCGCGCGAAACGTGTTTTTTATTTTTGCACCATTTTTGTAGTGCTCTTGAATAACTTTAATGTGGTCTTCAATCGAATACGACTCCCTAGCGATCAATGGTAAACATTCAACTAACAAAATGACATGTCGGTGACAGAAAACACAGATGGCGTCTATGTCAAATTGACGTTTACTTTCCTGCGTCCCTATTGGACAACCCTTATATATATATATATATATATGAGCAGTAGTCATTGCCAAAGCCAACGACTAGTTGGGTACAAAATACAATTACTTGTTAATTGGGAAATTGGCAAAACTTTTAGGCTTAAGTTGACTCTTTTGACGATAAAATCAAGCTTTCGGCATTCTATATGGAGCCCTCATCAAGATCCTGAAAACACAATTGTGATGCTAGCAAAAAAACATTACAGATTTAACATGTCAGACAACTTACTCGTCGGTGAGGTTGAAGCCACAAGGTGTTTCAGAAAGAACGTAGAGAAGATCGAACTTGTGTTCAGTATAAAAACAAAAGGACGGGGACATTGGGCTTGTTTAAAAACGACAGATACCTTCGTTAAAAGTTAAGAAAAAATAAAAATTATATCAATACACCCGAACAAGTTAAAAATATTACACGTGGGGAGACATTTTGTTGAAACAATCGGAATGCAGTCCCTAACCTTCTACTACCGCTACACGTGGAGAGGGGGAAGGCACGGAACGGTAAAGCGTCGACAGAAGACAAGTGATTGACGCGACGGACCGTGGGAATGTACACCTGCCTGTCCAACTTTGGGTATGAAGTATATGAGGGACGCTCGGAAACCTCCACCCAAAATTACTAAAAATGCTGGAATAACTTGTTTTGGAAAAGAGTGTGTGGTTCATATGAGTGCAAGAATGTGTGATATTGATACAACCTTGAAAAGATGGGCTATGTGAGTTTATATTAAAAATGTGAGTGAGAAAATGTATTCTAATTTTGTGAAGATGTTGGATCAATTTGGACATGTAGCCGTTCTAGCTATTCGCAATTCAACAGGTAGGAATAAATGACACTGAGCTGCTTAACATCAGCCTTTTTATTCATGCAATGATCTGTCCTTTTGTTTTATACGGAACACAAGTTCGATCTTCCCTACGTTCTTTCTGAAACACCTTGTGGCTGCAACCTCACCGACGAGTAAGTTGTCTGACATTTTAAATCTGTTCTGTTTTCTTTGCTAGCATCACAATTGTGTTTTCAGAATCCTGATGATGGCTCCATAGAGAATGCCGAAAGCTTGATTTTATCGTCAAAAGAGTCAACTTAAGCCTAAAAGTTTTGCCAATTTCCCAATTAACAACGTGCTGAAATTTTGTATGCATGTCTGGTTCGTGTGACTATAAATAATGAATTAACTGCCGCCATTTTGAATCTAATATGGCGTATGCTACATAATGTCAACTAATTATTTCTATAGTATATAATATGGTATCAAATGAAAGAGCTTCCCTTCCCCCTACCCTTCTCCCCTCTGGCCGCCTATAAACCTTCATTCCTTGTTCTCGTGCCCGACTGTTAAGTGCTGTGTCGAGGATCCGCTGAACTTTTAGAATTAGAAAACAGGACAGAAAGTTGGCCGATAGATGTGCATTGTGGAACGAGATATCGACCGACGGTCGCCTCAAGGTTCCTTCGTCGCGGACCAAAATTAGAAAGTGGCGTGCACCCTCAGGTAACTGTTTTAGGTGCAAGTTAAATGAATATTAGTATGGATGCCTCACCGGCGCTGTAAATTGTGCCTAGCATGCCGTTTGGGATAACGTTCTAACACTGTTGCTTGGGATAGCAACCTGGACCTAGCTTGTGATAGCCAACTCCATACCTAGAACGAACAAAGACGTTTGGGATAACGCTGAAACATTGGACTCAGTTGCTTGGCATAGCAACGTGGACCTGGCTTGGGATAGTTAGCTCCACACCAAGGATGAACGAAGACATTTGGGATAACGTTGTAACATTGGACTCGTTTGCTTGGGATAGCAACATGGACCTAGCTTGTGATAGTCCACACCAAGGACGAATGAAGATGTTTGGAAAAATGGCTCAATACTGAACTTCGTTGCACAAATAACAACACTGAAAGCGTTTGGGACAACGTAGCAACAAGCTATGGTCAGCAATATTTTCTCATTTGTTTGTGATAGCAAATTTCATCTGGTTTGTGATAACCATGGAACATGACTGTAAGTTTGAACATGGCAGGCTAGGAAGTTGTTATGATATCATTTTTCTTTATTACCAGATAGAGATTAAGTATGTTATGCGAGGTTAGCTTTACATTTTGCTTGTGACGGCAAATTTCATCTGATTTGTGATAACCTTGGAACAGCATAATAATAACGCACAAGACAGTTTTGGAAACCGCCGAAGTACCATTTTTCATTAATAACAAATAGAGATTAGGTTCACATATGCGACACTAGCGTTACAATTTGTTTGAGATAGCAAATTCTATCTAGTTTGTAATAGCAATGTAGCAATATAGCATTTTTCATTTATAACAGATAAAAGTTGGGTACATCTATGTGAGACTAGAGCGGTACATTTTGATTGGGATAGCAAATTCTATCTGGTTTGTGATAGCAATGTAGCAATATAACATTTTTCATTTATTTATAACAGATAAAAATTAGGTACATCTATGTGAGACTAGTGATAGAGGTGTTTTTAAAACGTCGTGAGCCATGACCGTTAGACGACATGCGCGGATTTAAATCTGTGGAGAAGCAGACGCGTCACAATACAAGCATTGCTAAAAAAAGTACTAGGCCTCCTGTAGGTCAGTCAAATTATTTCGGTAATTTTTGTCACACTCCAAACATTGGACTCAGTTGCTTGGCATAGCAACGTGGACCTGGCTTGGGATAGTCCACACCAAGGACGAATGAAGATGTTTGGAAAAATGGCTCAATACTGAACTTCGTTGCACAAATAACAACACTGAAAGCGTTTGGGACAACGTAGCAACAAGCTATGGTCAGCAATATTTTCTCATTTGTTTGTGATAGCAAATTTCATCTGGTTTGTGATAACCATGGAACATGACTGTAAGTTTGAACATGGCAGGCTAGGAAGTTGTTATGATATCATTTTTCTTTATTACCAGATAGAGATTAAGTATGTTATGCGAGGTTAGCCTTACATTTTGCTTGTGACGGCAAATTTCATCTGATTTGTGATAACCTTGGAACAGCATAATAATAACGCACAAGACAGTTTTGGAAACCGCCGAAGTACCATTTTTCATTAATAACAAATAGAGATTAGGTTCACATATGCGACACTAGCGTTACAATTTGTTTGAGATAGCAAATTCTATCTAGTTTGTAATAGCAATGTAGCAATATAGCATTTTTCATTTATAACAGATAAAAGTTGGGTACATCTATGTGAGACTAGAGCGGTACATTTTAATTGGGATAGCAAATTCTATCTGGTTTGTGATAGCAATGTAGCAATATAACATTTTTCATTTATTTATAACAGATAAAAATTAGGTACATCTATGTGAGACTAGTGATAGAGGTGTTTTAAAACGTCGTGAGCCATGACCGTTAGACGACATGCGCGGATTTAAATCTGTGGAGAAGCAGACGCGTCACAATACAAGCATTGCTAAAAAAAAGTACTAGGCCTCCTGTAGGTCAGTCAAATTATTTCGGTAATTTTTGTCACACTCCTATTTATTAAATAATTTGGTGTGGTGATACAACATAAATTAATTACAGAACGCGTATTCTTTAACGGAACATTGAGAATGATATTCATTTAATTTGATTACCTTACGAAACGTTGTTTCCCTACCATTTAAGTGTTCAATGACGTGCTTAGAGCTAATATAACAGGCTTATAATCGTTCCTCATTGTGTGTGTTTCCTCGTCGTCGCGTGGTATGGAATCAGTAGCGTAGGCAGCTGGTAGCTGACAAATCAATTATGTAAGAAGTAAGACTGGGTTATTCAGTATGAGAAGGTGGTAATCACCACTTTTCAAACCTGAGGAGAAGTTCTGCATTCCGTACAAAGCCCTTTTCCCCCGACAATGCAATACAACTAATCGTTTTCCCTTGACCAGTGGTGCTTGCAGACAGGTATTTGTCTCATCGTCCCAGGACTTTGGTACTGTATGAGAGCTGTGAATGTAAGTCTCATCGCTGTATACAATGTTCCTACCTGCGAAAAGGTATCCTCTAGAGCAAACTGTTACCTTTACGAACTTTAAGGAAATTATTTTGAAAACAAAAATCTTCATTTGTTGATTGAAATCATTTTTCAATGCATTTTTGTTAAAGCATACATATACATACAGAATACACTAATTTTTGCTATCGTTCATGTACCTTAATGCTTAAATTTTATATTTCTTGGGTCACATGTCCAAAAAAAATTTTCAAATACATATAAAGTCATCTGTTAAGGTTTATGACAATTTTTGATGGATATCGCTATTGCTGAATGGACTGAAAACATATCATAACATACAACATTTCCTTGTATTTCTTCAATTTCATTAAAAACCCAATTCATTTTAAACGAATGTCTTGGTTTTTAATCAATAGTTTCCAATTATCTTTCACTTTTTCAATTTATGAATTTTTTTTCTGAAGGATCCGATTTTCCCCGCAAGGTTTACTCCATCATTTTTTGCCGCTTCATAAACGGCTGTAATGGTAGGACGCCGCTTATGAATATGGACAAATTTATTAATTATTTTTCTTATCTCTGCCTCAAACCTGCCCACTGTCGATTTCGGATTTGGTTTAGACACATTTTTTCTTGGGGAGACAAATTTATTGCCTGTGGGTTTGATCGAACCTTCTTTCGCAATGCGTTTGACTGTATTGAGTGATACACCTATGGCCTCTGCTAATGATTTAGAGGTGAAATGACTTCCCTTGCCTCCCTTTCACGGCTCATGAATTGAAAAACATATACAATCTAGCGGCATTGGCTATGAACAACCTTGTGCTGGTTCTTATCTCTTTTAAGAAAAAATATTATCATAGAGCTGAGTAAAAATATCATATTGAAGTTCAACTTTCTTTGAACAGGTTTGCAAATAAAATGTGAATAGACGCGTGTGGTAATACGTTCCAATCGATCTAGGAGCAACATTTGATTAACATAATTAAACGCATATACGTTGCATCTCAGATTATCAAATCTTTATGCATGAAAAGGAACAATACCAAATTCAATACTAACGCTGTTTCATACAATAAGTCATCTACAATCTCTGAAACTCTTACACTCACATATTGAATATAAAAAATATATATCTTCACAACCCTGGTCTAACATAAAGCAAATCCAACATAGAAAATCGTAATTTATACGCGCATGGCACTGAGTACCGATAGTTCTCCCTTGGATGTACAAAGCCGCGTGCCAGTGTTCCAGAAAAAGTCGATATTTGTGATTAGGGTAATATTCTTCCCGCCGTTCTAATATCTGACTTCTGCGCATCCACATAATGTAACGGTCACGGCAAACGACGTTTTAAAACACCTCTACATTTTGCTTGGGATAGCAAATTCCATCTGGTTTGTGATAACTATGGAACAATATTGTAAGGATGCACATGAGAAGTTAGGAAGAAGCCGAAGTTCCGTTTTTCATTAATGAACGACAGAGATTAGCTACATCTATGCGAGACTAGCGTTACATTTTGCTTGTGATAGCAAATTCCACGTGGTTTGTGATAACCGTGGAACAGGTGTGTAATTATGAACATGTCCGGTTTGAAAACCGCCAATGTATATCTTTTTCTTATCACCAGATAAAGAATAGGCACCTTATGCGAGATTAGCGTTTACATTTTGCCTGTGACGGCAAATTCCATATGGTTTGGAATAGCCATCGAACAGGTCAATAATATGCACATGACAGATTACGAAACAGCTGAAGTACTATTTTTCATTAGCAACATATAGAAATTAGGTACATCTATGGTAGACTAGCGTTACATTTTGCTTGTGATAGCAAATTCCACATGGCTGGAAGTATGGAACAGGACTGTACGTATGAACATCACCGGTTAGGAAACCACCAAAGTTCTAATGTTCAGTAATAACGGAAGTTAAATATTATGCCCGATTAACGTTACATTTTGCATAGGTGGCACTCGAACAGCAGGGCGCTCTGGGGTGTGTTGTCTTAAAGGCCATGTAGTCTGTTTCAATAGATGACGCATCAACACGATGATGCGGCGACCTTACCATAATATTAATGTTCGCGCGTTGTTCCAAGGCTGACATTTCTACTCTAGCCACCTAAAGTGAACCCTGAGGTAACGGAAGACATAATAGAATTTGTCGCACGCAGGGATGCGTGAATGGTCTGCGTACAGCAACATGTGAGCTGTTCACTAACTGCAAGTGGCAATACTCTATCCTCTAGGTTTAAAGACGGGAGAGGAGTGCTTGCTGGCAGATATTCACATTAAAGCAAAGAACTCAGTAGTACTCTGACAGAGGCTTCCAGTGATATCTTGTTCTTCGGTGTAGGTCCGACCAAGTAAGTCAATTCTAAATAGGAATCAGATAAACTGAGCAGCAACTGAAGGCCAAAAGGCCAGACAACGTACTGACAACATCAGCTCACTATTGTAGATGAGGTGTGTAGATCAGCATGGACATTAACGCGTATTCATCATCAATGGCAGAGCTTTAGGAGTGGCGCTAAAGTGCTGAGTTAGACTCAAGTGGTCACTTGCCATTCAGATGGCTACTTTTTAGCACTTGGCCATAGCTGAATCTCATTAGTCTATCTCTGAATTTCTTAGCTGCGGTGCTATCAGTAAAAAAGTTGAGCTAACTAAAAATCAGCATCTATCCAACTTTTTCTTGCCCCCAAGTCTGATGGGTCAACACGTTTGATTCCTTAACTCAAGACACTTTGTCTGTTTATATTGATACAACACTTAAGTCTAGGCTATTGAACTGGGATCACACTTCTCCGAAGAGATACTTTCTTAACGAATCTGGATTTGGAATATGCAGGGATTTTGGTACCCGTTAGAATATATTTCAGATTCATATTCGAGGGACAGCCCTTCCAATACAATGCTGTACCGTTTAGGGTAAATTATGCCCCTTGCTGTTCACAAAGTTAATAAAACCATTTCTGGAATAATTAAGAAAAAATTGAGTACTTTCACGCGCAGTATTAAATTGTGACAGAAAGAAAGTTACTTTACTTGAGCGGACGATGCAGGCATTACTAAACCTAGTAAGGGCAATAATGGGCAGCAACCAAGACAGAGTCCGAAACTTTGCGGTGAACATCGGGATCTTGGTGTCAGCTTGTCTTTCATTTGATTACAGCCGACTATACACTAACGAGTGAAATGTCTTGCCTTATAAAATTCTCAAGGAAATTTTAACGCTACTATGCCACGAACATAACTTAAGATCTACCTCGGCTGGGGCTCAAAGAAACTGGCAGATGCGGTCCGAGGTATTGAGTTATTCAATTTTTCGTTGAATAATTTCTCGGACTGGGACATTCGTTGGCCAGGGAGAAGTCTCTAGTTTTTGCTTACCCAAAAAGAAGATCCCGCATGCTAATCATCAAGAACCACTGGTAGTTTTCTTCTCTGGTGAATGCTTTGCTACCGAATTGATGGACTGTCGCATATTATACCCCATCCTACATCAATAGAATGGAGAGCTTCTAGTTTCCACGTCTGGACCAGGTTGCGGGAAAACTATGGCAATTGTGTGAAGAGAGAAATCTTACTGCCCTCGCGTCAAATATAAAATCTAGGAGTAATACTGGTACAGATGAGCTTTTACGTCACTGGGACGTGAAAACGGAGTGGGAGCTGCACCTGTCACCGTACTGATTTTGGTTGAAGTATCCGGTATTTCTGAAATTTCACTTCTAGAAGTAACGTAAGGATCTGATGGAGGGACCCAGGACTCCGCTCCCACTAATTCTGAAGCTTACCCTGGTTATCGTCGCTGGAAAGCTGTCATTCCAACCAGCATCGATAATCCATCATGTATTGTGGGCTTAGATTACGGTACGACCTTTGTCGGGAAGAAATACATGTCTGGTTTCCTTCCTTGAAATTTCTTACCTTACTGGTGATAAGAGATCAAGATATAATTGTTTGAGCTATCAGTCTTTTACCCAAAATGTTACTAACGATGCAGACATAAGATGGTTTTTGAAGGGCATTTACAGGCTGAGGCCATCTCAACTGAAATATAGATACTGTGGTTGTTCTCAACCAACCAAAGGGGTTGCTGGTAAGCTCTGTAGATATTTGGATGAGGAAATCAGAAACACTGCTAGCTCTAACCTCAGGTCAGAGTGTGCAAACTAATTGAAACAGACAACATCCGGATTGGGTTGAATAGGGTTGAAAGCCTCCGGGTCACCCATGTGGCAACCATATAAATTTTACCGTATTTTACGCCCAAATATCTGTGCAGTCAAAGTATTTATTTGTCACTGTATAATAACTTTATCATGGTGCCTCGGCTCCCAGATGGCCGCCGCAAAATATCGATATAATTTCCATAGTCACCGTCATATTATGGTTATCAAATTAAAGGGATTGATTAAAGATCCACAATAAGCAAAGTGACGTAATTCTTATCCAATATGGCGAACGTTTAATATCACAGTTGGCAATGCAATATTATTATGACATGGTAGAGCCTCACTTGATTCTTAATGACAACTACTCTAGTCTTACGATCTGATGATAAAGTTTGTCAACTATTGTGTAAAAAATACTCGTCTATAATAATAACTATATCAAATTTCAACTTTTTAACATTAATTCGCTAAAATTTATATTATACATTTGATCTTAAAATATTCATACATAATATGAATAATTACTTTTGCTTACGTCAATAAAACAGTACAAAAACCTTATATAAGTTATTCTCGTTTTTTCACACATTCTTATTTGTATGTTCCGTTTAAATTTGGCATTATGATATTCAATTTCTCAGAAAATTAACTTACTTTTGTATGTATAAATTCACTATTTATAACTTTTTTCTCTCACTACTTTTTTAAAAATCTCACTTTTCTCACTTAAATTCATGCTTTGGGCCGCCAGCTCCCCTGTCACCTGCATTTACACCCGAAGTCTTATAAAAAATCGTAAATAAATAGGTC